CGAACTGATGAGAAAAAAGGAACAGAAATGGCAAAATAATCAGCGTGCTTATATTGAGGAACAGGTCAGTCAATCATAAGAGCTGTAAAATGATAAGACAGCATCTAGTAGTACATTTGAATGGTTGAGTAACGCTTTTGACCGCCTTGTCCCGATATCACTAAAAGCAGTTCGTAAACCGTTCAAGATGAGAACAGCAACAGTCAAAAGGTTGCAGCTTACTAATAAAAAGAAACAAAATGTCAAAGCTATGGAATAATCAAGGAGAGTACAGTTCACACGTTCAGATTTAACATTCACAGAAATTTACGAGTAAAATAAACAGCGAGGTTCCTTGTATGCAAACCGATACTTGTTGTCTGGGTTGATTAGAGATGGGTGTAAAACTGACTTCTTCTTCAATATTAAACCGGAAACAGCAAAAGCGACTGACCAGCAACGAGATGAAATCCAAACATATTATGTGCCTTTTGGTATCGACGTAATCTCGAATGGGGAAGGGGGCAGTGTTCAGGAATACGCGTTACTTCAAGATCAGATATGTGCGATGATGTGAGGATGGTGCTGCATCAAATTCAGGTAAGAAGAGTGGAACTACTGCCACCGGAACTTGCTGCGGATGATGCCTGAAACAGAACGCATACGTCCACGCATCTCTCACCTGGTGAAGCCGATTCGAACGAAGAAAACTTGTGGGTCAAGTGACTGGGGCAGTTAGTAAGATAAAAGGCGAACGGGTTCAGGATTCCGCAGCTCAGTGTCAATTGCAGAAAGGGAACGTAAAATTATCTGTACACGTGCATACTGCAGTCCAAATGATTTTTAGTCAGTGAGATAACAGATTTGGGTGTTTTTGCGTTGCGTTGTCCGTTGTGATTAGCGATCTTGTGTTTTTTCTCTCAAATCTGTTATCTCACTGACTATAAAAATCATTTGGACTGCAGTATGCACGTTTACAGATGCAGCGAAATGACCATGGATACATTGTGCAAACCCATGTTTCTGACTTCTCAGTTCAAACTTGTGACGGGAAAACAGTGTTTTAAGTAAAATAATCTGTCCGCAATGTATTTTCACTCCATGCCCCATACACCTACCATCACGCGGTTCGGCAAACTGCTGCGCGTAGAAGAAATTCAGGTTTCTCGAGCCGCATTTTAGAGATGGGGATAGAAAATTAACCTCGGTCATCCTACAGTCTTGTAGAAACAACGTATCAGCATGAAAGCACATGTCGATAACGTCGTTTGGAATATCAATTACAGATTTTATGTTGGCCAAACGTTGTAAATCCGGGAAGCGATTATTCACGTACAACTTTAACTGACTTATTTCTTAAGAAATGGAGCCCAAGGAATTATAATGTTCGGATATTTTTCAAATGAGCAACTAATTCCGACAGGTTGATTGGAAAAACATGAATGAGGTGTTTCATCCACTGACCAATAACAGCATATTTTAAAAGTTAGAGCGGCAATACAGGGAAATAGTAAAATAAGGCTTTCAGTATGTGCAAAATCGGAGTTGAGGGTCTGGGAGGTGGATGTGCCGACATTGATCACATTATTGGTGATAATCCATTGCGGAATGTGTACATTCGACTGGAATGTTGTGATGGCATTTCGGACACATGACCACATCCACGGTGTGGTTCGTCTCAGCCGAGTGTATAACAACCGCACTAGCGTCTGGCCCTCGACTGAGCCACACAGCGTGATGTTTTCTCATACGATCGGCGAGGTGTCTGGTGCTGCAACCCGCACTCCTGGCACCAAAGTAAACTCGCATGTATAAAAAGAGGTTATCTCCGTCAGGATCCTTATCTTTCATCTGGTATGGGAAAACTCATTTGGAAGAGTAGAAATTGTGACAAACAGTTCAGAAACACGTTTTTCTCTACTACTCACAACATGGATGTGCGGGAATCACTCCATCCAATCTATTCGATGAAGCCTGTCTGGCCTAAGGATGTCAAAGATCCATTGCTATCTACTGCAATGGTGTTAGCGATTGGATTAAAAAACTGCCCCCCCCCCACACACACACACTCAATGAGCACAGAAACAATTTGCAAATTCCTTTCCCTCTCGTGGTCATGTGTCCGAAATGCCATCACAACATTCCAGTCGAATGTACACATTCCGCAATGGATTATCACCAATAATGTGATCAATGTCGGCACATCCACCTCCCAGACCCTCAACTCCGATTTTGCACATACTGAAAGCCTTATTTTACTATTTCCCTGTATTGCCGCTCTAACTTTTAAAATGTGCTGTTATTGGCCAGTGGATGAAACACTGAAAGCAAGCTTATTCATCTCACTCAATGAAACATGATTTCTTTGGACCGAGTGAAAGATTGTAAGCAGATCTTAGGTTTGACAAGAATTGATGCACAGTCTAGGAATGAGTTATAAAAGCCAGAAATTACTGATACAAGCACATCAGCACAAGAGTTTACTCCGGAAGGTGGTAGTGAATTAACGCAATACGGAGTGTGATCGGGGTTTCTTTGGAGTCCGAATCTATCACCCATGATGAATTGCGCGACGACCCAAAACCGACAACGGAATGAATGTTTTTATCAGTGATAGACCGACTAAAAGTTACAGAATAACGGGACGGACAAAGTTTTTATAAGTACGGATTTCATTGTTTTCTGACAGGATGAATATGCAAAGGAATGTGATGTTCTTCCGTTTATCACAATTCTGATTTATGTTTAGCAATGCCAACTTTTCATCACTCGTCAGTACGGTTATTAGAGAACCAGTTGGAATTTCCCACACGTATCGAACACGAAGTACAGTTATCCGATTCTTGCATAGTAACACCAAAACCAAATGTAAACATTTGATGACTAACGTGAAGATCAAATGACAAATTTCATACACAAGAGCATCAACGACTCAGTGGTCGGTGAAAATTGGTCAACACACTTTAAGGATAAAATTAATAAAACTGAACCGTATGGTCATTTTGCTCCGATCAATAGCGGAATCCTAAGACTGAGTGTTATAATTTCACAAGGCGATGCCTAGTCGAGGATAGTTGTTTATTGCAGATTACAGTTGGAATATCAATAATTTGGCATACATGCAACAGGTATCTCATTTGAAACATGCCATCACAGAGTAACGAATGGAGCAGTCCGTATTTATTCTTTGAGGTAAAGCAATTCACCCTCAGTGGTCTTGTTAATTTTTGATCATAGACGATACCACCAACTAATCAATATTTTCCATAGTAGTAACAAATGTGAGTAGCACCTCACAACAATAGTAAATAGAGGGATGAACCACATAGGAACCAAGGAGGATAAGAGTTTGTATGAACCTTCACGAAAGCTAGACTACCCAACACCATAGACAACAGTCAATGATCGGGCTTAACCATCAACGTTCAATGATCATTTCCGTTCAATGCACATCATGCGGAGTCACTTCTGGGCTTGACTCAATGCAGT